AGAGCACTTGATTTTCTGATTATTGGCTGAAATATTCTAAAACTTTGGTTCATAAATTTTGAACAATGGAATGGTATTTAAAATCTTAAACCTTATGCGCATGTAGTGTGAACAATTTTGGAACAAATTTGGCACTGAAAGGCCTGTACTGTGCAAGAAGTGGCAGAGCGATAAACACTATCGTGTGATGCGCATATTTTGTATTCTGCTATTTTCAACTCTTGATGAATAGCTTTCTAGAATTGCATGTTGATTTAAAATTATCATTGATTTTGAATATTGAGTTGAAGGCACAATTACTTTTTTTTTTTTGTATAAGAAATTGCTAGATGTTGCTCTCACTTTTTTGTTAAATTACAAAAATGAGAAAAGAAATAGGCTTTTATTTGTTGTCTAAGAACATCTAATGCTAAATTTTCTTGTTATTTTAAGTATGAGTCATTTCTAATTGATACTTGTATTAAGTTAGTTGAGAAAGAGGCTTGGTAGCAATACTAATGTTGTTACAAAACTTGAGTCAGCCTGAAAATTTTGTGCCAGATGTTGTCTACGCGTGATCAACACCATATGATATGTGTTGTCAATTCTATCACTAGATTAGGACATTGTATGATATGGAGGAAACTGTGGCTGCATGGGCTAGGCATGATCCTTGCACTATAGCTTCGCAATGTTTAACTTGGATATAGTCTGAAATCATTAATTCAAAACCAGCCTTACTAGAATTCGCAACTATCATGAATATTGCTCCATTTGTTTAATTGCTCTTTGTTAAACTTTGATAGAGCTGAAACACCTTCTACAATGCAGGTGTTTGAGGACAAATTTTGAAAGTGATTCAATGCTTCAACGTGGAACAAATTACCATGTGCTCTTTTGCACAATTACTCTAAATGTTGGCCAGTTAAAATTTTTCGTACATTTCAGATTTTGAATACTTAATTTTATTGATATTCAACACCATAAGAAACTAAAGATCCTTTAAGTTTAATTTGTTTTTTTGACCCTTAAGTTTCAGGCAAGAGTCATTCATACAATAATTTGATTGAATTATTGTTTTGCTGGAAGGAGGCATCACAAAATCCGCATCCATGATGTTGGCTGCTACTTCCATTAAGCAAACATAATGAGGTTGATTTTTTGGTAAATATGTGGGGGTGTGCTGGAATATCTTTATGATTATGTTTATAGAAGCTTTTCTTACTCCCACAACTGCTTCACCACCTAATAACTACTTAAACATTATGTTACGTACCATATAGGTCTGAATTTTGGAGAATTCTATTCTATTCCTACATATGAGTTCGAACAAATAAGTTGGCAGATTCTACCAATGTGTTGTTTTTACTTATGATTTCAATTATGGGTTATGCTTCTAAATATTGGCCATGAGTCATATTTTGTTGAGTAAAATGACTCTTGATAATAATATTTTGTACGATTATGTAAATTTTGGTGCAGTGAATGTTTATGAGATTCTTTTGAAAAGGAAACTATATATGTTGACTTGTTTTTTAAGTACACGATTCAGCAACTTGTGATGCATAAGCCTGAGCCTAGGGAAGATAATAACTAGAAGTTTTGCCATGGTTATGACCATTTAGCAATCAATTGTTTCATGCGATAGTTGGAGCAAGCTTATATATTTTTACTCCATTATTAGCATTTTCGGAAACAAACTTTGTCTGAATTCCACCTTATTGCAAGTTACTATCACCTAGAAGCAGCACTTTAGGAGTGCAAATTGATCACTTAAATGAACTTTTTCTTCATACGTTGTGTCTATATTCTAAGAGGAACTCCTATAAACTGTTTGACACACACTATTGAGGGGTTGCAATATCACAGCTTATAGGCAGTACAATTAGCATTTGTTTAGTAATCTCTAATCATCACAAGTAGCCTTTATAAATTTCTTTTTAGAAAAGAAAAAAGAATTTTAGGGAACCTTTCCAAAAAAAAAAAAAGAAACATCTCAGTTCATGTAAAAAAATTTCTGAGAATTCATAGTGGGCAAAAATATTATAACCGACACCTAAAAGGTTTGTCGTAGTTAGAGTTTCTTGTAATGCAATTGAGCCATGTGTTCTGTCATCTCTATGCATTAGCCATGTTCCTTTCTTTCAGTGTGTAGCTCGGCTATGAGCTATTCATTAGGAGAGATGTTAATTTACTAGATAAGGAATGGTGAGATGGTTATCACAGTCGACATCAGGTTTTTAAATTCTAATTTGGTAAGGTTATCGTTATGTATGCAAAGTGCTCCATTCAACAACTTCTTTGGAAAAATGGGCTTCACGTTTCATTGTTGAGTATTGTTATACTTAGGTTAGTGGATTGAACTTACTTAGATTAAACATTCAAAGCATAAGATTTTACGATATCATTTGGTAGCCACATTTGGTAAATTCATTTGAGATGTATTACTTTATTCTTCCTGTATTAATCTTGAAACTAAATGTAAACAACTTTTCTCACACTTAACTATGCAAAAAATAGTCTAGAAATTAGTTTATAGAATCTGTAACAAACGCACTTCGTGATTATATTTTGTACTTCATATTCAAAATAGTCCACGTGCAATAATACACGTGTGCAAAAATTAGTGGTAATAAAATTTGGAGTTAAGTTTCAAGAGATTATTGGGCATCAAATTTTGTCTTCTAACACTAGATCACCTGGGTCTGGTGACAAAGTTTGGAGCCTTACATCCTCCTCCCTCGTGAAAAAAAATGACATGCAGTTATTTCTAATAAAAAATATAAAAAAGCTCTTGATGCAACAGAATATATATGATCCAATCACTTGAATGAGAAATGGGAGAACGGGGACAACATTCGAGTTCCATTGTTTCTTAAAAAAGACCTGCAAAAGTGGTCTCGCCCGCTTTGCCCACACCTGGAGATCTTTAGAAAGGCGTCAACCAAATGAGGTAAAGGTGAAAAAAAATGATTTTTTGGATTTATATCTGTCGATCCTTAAAAAAGAAAGAAGCGGTACAAATACATTGCTTTCGTTGCAATGATGGAATAAGAATTTAGTGGAAGACTTCCAGGTGCCTGACAATCATCCAAATGGTGATCTGGCATCATGAGTAGAAGTTGATAGAGAAACGAGGCAATCGAAACCAACTCCTTCAGAACTATATATAAGAAGGAGTAATGGGTGTTTAGGATACTAAGCAAAGATATTGTGATTTAGTAGTGTTTTATTAATAACGGGATGTGGATAATTGTTGTCTGAACTAACTTTACGAATTAGAGATGTAATATACTCATTTCCTAAATTTCTCATATCAAATAAACCCAAACACACTAAAATGCAAATAGGTATTAAAAATGTGGTTAGTATTACGAAGAATGGGCTTCCATCATTAAACCAATTAAAACAGTTAGAAAATGTTGTACAAGTTTAACACATTACTTGATAGTGTTAATTAGTGTGCATAACCAATGAAAAACTGTCATGTCATACACAAAAAAATTCAGGCAAAGTGATGAATGACGAATTTTCTTAGGAGTGTACACGTTTTGATGGGCTTTGTACACTACTTGGCACTGCCAAAGTGGTTTGTTCAACCCACAGAAAATTTTCTCTGAAACAGTGGTCAGATATGCCACCAAGATGACGAATGAGTCACACCTACACCTGCGAGAGAGCCGTGGGAGTGATAGCAGAGTTTAGGGGGGAAAAAAAATTGTGAGAAGACGAAGGGAAATGAGGACACGTGGCACTTTATAATCTCTAATGTGGCAGCAGGGAGAGTATCGTCCTCGTTAACCCCGCCACCAAAACAAAAATCCCGAAACCGAAAGTGTCCTATTTGCTTGCTTGAAACCTGGGATTTATCCGGGTCCACGTGCGTCTCTTAATTAGATACATGAAGATTATGGTAAATAACATAAGATACCCCAGAACTTCTACATTCAGTCCATTTTACCCCCTTACTTTTTCTCTCGTCCTACTCTCTTTTTGTTTCGTCATGTCCCCCTTTACTGTTCGTGGGTGTTTTCTTGGCTGTATATGAAAAGTGATACCAGTTGGTTATTTATTATAATGATGATAGACTTGCGTAAACATAAAACAATCTCTAATTTTAACGGAAGAAAAATCATATGCCCATGAGCCTAGAGAAATAGGATTATATATTACAATTATTTGATTGTTTTTCTATCTATTCCTAGCTCCAAGGTCTAATGAAATGGTAGGAATCTGAAGTCGGAAAAGCCATCTTCATTTTGTTGGTGGTTGTTGCCTACTAGCAAACATTGGTCTATAGGAATTTGGAGAAATCACTTAATTAGAATATGTACCTTTTTAGCTTGACATATTTCTTTCATAAGCATATTGATATGAGTTCAATGGACAATATGGTTAATGATTAGTGTCAAATTTGATCTAATTTATTGACATAATAATGAGATTTCATTAAAATCATTGGATTAACACCATATTTTAATAAATTAAAATAATATTATAAATGCATACAAATTACTCGTTTAACTACATTAATAAGAAGAAATTTATATTTTTTTTCATTTCTTGATCAAATATTAATATATATGACAAAACACCATATGGACCCACAATTATTTAATTAAATCTTTCGATTCAATTGACCCTCTTACCCTAAAAGGAGGGTTGGGAAGATGGGGAGTTATGATCAACCTTCAAGATCCGAAACTAGCTAGGCAGGCAATGTCACCGCCATCTTTTTCTCTCTCTCTCTCTCTTCTCTCGTCATCTTCTGTGAATGGCCTGACAGTGACAAAAACTACTGTCTAATCTACTTCCTTCCTACCATCTTTTCCTCCGTTCTCACCCTCAATATTGAATTCAATAGTTGCATTAGTTTGCAACAGAGATTTAATTATTCATGTGGGTTCATGAACAGGTTTATCAGCAAGAGAGTCAGATCTGATCTTCTTTTTCTGTACTCCTAGTTTTTTCCTACAAAGGTGTAGGATTCAAAGGAAACATATCTCAAGAGGAAGAGAGAGATGGGAAGAGTGAAGCTTCAAATCAAAAAGATTGAAAACACAACTAATAGGCAGGTCACTTTCTCAAAAAGGAGAAATGGGCTAATTAAGAAAGCTTATGAACTTTCTGTTCTCTGTGATGTTGATGTAGCTCTCATCATGTTTTCCCCTTCTGGAAGGGTCAGTATATTCTCTGGAAATAAAAGGTGATAGTGGCTCAAACTACCCTCTCTCCTATTTTTCCTTATCTAGGTCTCCCAATTTTATGTTGGCTATTAAATAAAACTTCAACTATTTAACTCTTCTTTTTTTCATCCATGTTTGGTCTGTGAAAGAATTGAAGAGATTATGGCACGGTATGTGAATCTCCCTGAGCACGAGCGGGGGCGGTAAGATCATCTTGGTTCTAATAGAGCTGCTTCTTTTTTTTCTTGATATTCTCTTTATCATGCTGAATCTGATGATGTTTGATAGTTTTTTTTGTTCACATGAATGAATTTTTTGGCTCCATGCAAATAATAAAGGCTGCATAACCAAGAGGTAATCATATTCATTAGGGATGGTCTTATTTAAATCGTGGAAGCGGATATATTTGGAGTGATAAATTATCAAATTATTTGCAGTATCTCCAAAGAGCTCTTGGTAAGTTGAAAGGTGAAGCTGATCGAACATATCAGACAGTGAGGTTCAGATTTTCTTTTTCTTTCCGAAACCGTTCCTTGCTTAGCTTAGTTTGGTGATTTTGTTCCAATTTCTCTCTTTTCTTCTCTCTCTCTCTCTCTTGGCGGATTTTAATTATATAGTTATTAGGTCTTCAATTAGCTACAGCTTGTCTCTTTCTTAACTACTTTTATTTTGTTGTTGCATGTTATGTGAAGCAGCCCAGCTATTGTTGATTCTCAACTTGAGGTACTTCATTAATTTATAAGAAGTTCTACTTGGCAAAAAGCTATGGGCTAATTGTTTATATTCAATTTGCATGAATTATATAACAGGAAATCCAACAAGAAATCTTGAGATGCAAAACTCAATTGGAGGATAAGGAAAAACGACTAAGGTACTTAATTTTTAGCGTCTAATCATTGACAGAACCCTATGTCTACGAGTTTTCAAATGAAAATAGTAGTTTTTTTTAGTGAAAATAATAGTTTTTTGGCAGGCATGAACTATAATAATACTATGTTTTGTAGGGTATTTGAAGGTGATCCTTCTGAAATCACAACGTTGTGTGAGGCGGAATTCCGGGAGCAAATCCTTGAGGAGACTCTAAAAAATGTCCGTCTACGCAAGGTACATAAGATCATCAATTACTTCACATTGGTTTTAGAACGAATTATGATCCACCCGAAACCTGAATCTTATGAACTTTCCTATCAATTATAAGCAGAATGTTTTGGAGGAGAAGTATAATTCACCAGACACGCAACCAACTTCACAGGTCTGTAGAAGTCTTCTTTTTCATTTACTACAATTCCATTTTCACCACAAGGTCATGTAAAGCCATCTTCATATGCTTTAGGATAAGATTTTGGTATCAAAAGGTGTATTTACGAGTAAATACGTGTTGCTAAGAAGGAACAGAAGTTAAAGGTACATCTGCCTTTAAAACCTATTTTGTTTGCTTATGCATTTAGGTAAATCTGCCTTCAGAAACAGTAAACATTGATGGTTTCAGCGCGAGCAATGCAAACGATATCTTGGGATGGCTTCCACAAAGAGATCCACAAGCCCAGATCCTAAATTTTTTGGATTCCAATGGTCTTCTGCCCCAGAGGTGCTTATTAATTTGAACTTTGTTTAAAGTTCTATTAAAAGGTCCATTTTAATTATCATAAAAAATGATATAGATATGCTTCTCTTTTTCTTTGTTTGTGTGGTGGTTTTTTGAAGAGATCAAACCCAAAGCTTAGAAAACATCTTGCCATCTCAATTGACTCTCCTTCAAGGACCAAACATGCGTCTTGAAGATCAGCATACGTGTCCAGGCAGTGGCATGGAGGAAGATAACAACTTGCAGCAACCTGAATTTGGACAAGTTCTGGACGTCAACCTTTCACCTTGGACAGAATATTATCCCACAGGTTTTTGCTTTGCTTATTTTTCTATTCTTTGTTTTTTCCTCGTTGCTTATTTTTCTTTTCACATTTAAGTGCAAGTTTCAACTATTTGCCATGAAAAAATACCGATCGAGTTTGCCAAAGGCCTTCAGTCGCCTGGTTTGGGAATGACCATTAATTAGACACTTTAGATCAATATAGATTTTCACAAGAAAAAGACATGATCCTATATTTTCCCAAGATCTTATCATACTCTTCTTTGATAAGTCCTACCTGAACTTAATTTCTTAATCTCATTGGATTAGCAATGGATCACACTATTAAATGGAGTTCAAGGTCAATTCAATGATCACTATAGCTAGATTAAGTCAACACACACACACACACATATATATATGCCATATATTGGATCAAGTGTGTAATGCTAATGAGCTCCGAGAAATTCAATTGTTAACTAGTTTAACCATGCAAATTCTTACTTGGTCTTATTTAATTACCTCGTCACCAATGAATATTTTGTTATTATTTTAGTGGCTACGATTCCTGTTTTTGTTTTCTTACGTGTTCTTTAAACTTGAGTAAATTATTTACCTTTGAATTGAAATAAAAAATACGATAATCGAAACCAATTATTAGAGTTGATGCATGCATTATTGTGACAAATGAAAGTATATATGTTGGCAGGGAATGCCTCCTTTCTAGCTGCACAGCCCAGAGAACGAGCTCTTCTTGAACTGTTTTTGTCTCAGTTCACTCCATGATTATGAATCAAGATGATCTACAAATATTTCTACATGACTCTCCATATATGTTATTCATTGATAGTTTGTTCTCGTCTCTTCTCCAAGTGCGTTGTCGAGTGGTTAGGACAGTGAGATTTCTAGATTTATAGTATTTCACTACATTGACTGTCTAGTTTCGGATGGAAGGCCAACTAAATTTCCATGTCTTGCACACCCCACCAAGAGAAAAAAAATTGTAGCACTTATGGATGTTACGTAAATGTTTTTGGTGCTTGGTTGCTTAGGCTGGGGCGGGCCTCATTGAAATCGGATTCAAATTCGATGGTAAGTGCTAAGGAAAAGCTCATCAATCGGGGGATCCAAGTCCTCTAAAATCTATATAAGTTTCATGCATGCCATCATTAATTTTTCATTTGATTATAATCAGGTAATTTTTGTTGTTGATGACGATGTATTTTGAACCCCTGATCCCCTCTGCCCCCAAAAAAAAAAATTTCATTTAAAATATTATGTCGTAACTCTATCTATTGTATAATGTTGGTTTAGCCATATACTAATATGCACAATACGATATTGGAAGGATTGGTAATAGATTAGGGAAACTTGAAAAGATTTGGTCGAGGCATTGAAGTCTAGAGGTAGCAAGTAGTGACACCTAAAAAATCCACTTGTGTTTTATGCATTCTTTGACTAGAAAAGTGGAAACAAAAATTCAATGAGCTTTTCATAAAGAGTAATCCTAAATGGATTTAAAAATTAGATTTAATAATTTCAATCATTGAATAGGTAGTGGGTTCCAATAAATACTGGAACCCACAGTAAAATCAATGATTCTAATTATCAAATCTAATTTTTAAATTCATATAACATTGTTCTTTCATAAATGTCATCAAATCAATAAATTAAGGGTGAATTATAATTTACACTTTCAAATAATTAAAATTTTTTATTTTTTTTGGGATGTTGACAGCCCAATTATTGCATGACATGTGTCTAAGTGGCATCGGCTTAAGTCTCCTCAAGCCGAGGCTGAGGGATAACCGAGCCAAGACAACATAGCTAATTCTAGTGCCATCCTAATTGATATGTGGAGCACAGGCTCCACGCAGAGCATAAAAGTCACAGGCTAATCAACGTCATCCCATTAAAAGAAGAACTATTTTTAACCATCGTCAAGGTGGGGTATGGCTCTTGACTGAGTTGGGAAGTCCTCGGGAGGACATGAGGGTGTCCTCGGGACGTATTCTTAAATGCTCAACGATGGTCTGTAGATATTTTACGATAGTGTTTAATGTTCGGAGCTATTGGACGCCTACGGATGGGACAAAGCGATGAATGTTCGGGGAGAGTCAAGTATGTAAATTGGAACATTTCGTCGCTTAATATTAAAAATGCGTAATAAAATAATATTTATTGTGCTCATCATAGGTCATAGGCTAACAAGTCTAAGAATTATACCTGAGTGATTGTCACATCATCATATTTAAAAATACAAATACTAATGAGATATTTTTAAAAGGGTCTTAAATCAGCGACAAGTGTCTTCGGCCCGAAGGCTCCCTGCTTAAAACTTGGCTCCGAGACGTGTCCCCTCGGTCCCGAGGGTACTCCCTTTGACCTCGCATGCCCCCTTTGCCCCAACACATGTTCCTCAGCTTCAAGGTGTATCCCCTCGGTTCTGAGGGTACTCTCTTCAACCTTGTCATGGATCCTCGACTTTTAAGGAGACTAGTGATTGATAATTAAGTACTCTAAGCTAGACTAGGGATCGTAAGGATACTCTGCATAAAATAGTCAGAATGACAGATTGGATTGGACATTCAACCAGAGGGAATCAAACAAGTGGCGTAAAGTACAAGATAAGGGATAAAAAGACAAGTCTACCCTTGTTGATATGCCGCTAATAGAGACAGACATTTAATATGACATCAGTTGATAAGACACTTACCATGACTTGATAAGTTGAGGAATTAAAGCATTAAATGCTCAGGGATCCAACCATTTAATGTCTCTACATCAAAAAAGAGCATTAAATGCTCGGCAATCAATGTTGGGACATTCCTCAAGAAAAGTGGAGGGTACACTGCCCCCATCTTTAAAAGCTACCTACTGCATAGACTATCATAATGATGAGTCTTTAAAATTATAAATAATCTTCAAAAACACATGACAAAAGTACGCAAAATCATCTCTCAAGAACCCTAAACAGTGTTTTTTTTTTTTCTCTAAAAAAAAACTGACTTGATCGTCAGAGAGGATACGCCAAAAAACACTTCGGTGCCCTTTTAACCCATTTTCTGTGTTCCAGGGATCCCTTGTGAAGCCAACCGAATCGGTCCAGCGGTTCTAGGGACAATTTATCACCATTCCTAAAGTTCCCCTTTGGCCCTCTGAACGCATTTTTTGTGACTGAATCCATTATTTTGACGAACACGTGTTTACCAAAATAAAGATTTGTTTGTGATTTTTCTATTGTGCAAAAATTAGCATGCACAAATACCTTATCAAACTGCCACGCATGTACGTAAAAAAAATTGACTAAACACCGAACATTTTCCTAAAACTTACTTCACCAACTGAGTTAAACTTTGGAAGGAAGAAGTTAGGTGTTCATCTAATTTTTTTTGACTCGTCTTCGGTTTCAAAAACCAAGAATCGTTCTCCACTCACCGTGTCATATAATAACATCGAATCATGGTACTACGAATAATTGATAAACAATGGATGGCATAGCTGAAATGAAATAATGAGTTCATGTTCTAATGTATTTGTAAACTCAACTCAATAAAATTTTAATTACGTGTTTATATATATATATTATCAAATTTAGCATGCTCCACTAAAGTCAGCTAGGTGATTAGAATTGATTGGGTTAACATTTAAACAAATTTTCTAATAAATCTCGTGAAATCTAATTCTCTAACTGGTTGAACAGTAAGTCATTTACTTGGTAGTGTGACCTATTAATCAGGTAAATAGATTACTTTTATAATTTGTCTCCAATGCATTGTAGATAAATGTATCAAAGTATGACAAAATTCCATTAACAAGAAACAACCACAATATTAAATTAAAAGGTTTGAATTTTTTTTAACCACTTGTTTCATAAAATAAGTAAACTCAACACAATATGATTATTAATAAATGAATCGAATATTGGTGAAATTAATTAAAAAAATATACGATACGATTCACCTATATATTAGTTGTACATAATTTATACGCGATAGAAATCTTATATAATATGATTCATTAGATACAAATTAATAAATAAATTGAGTATAAATAAAATACTTTTTAATATGAATTCACTAAGGTCAGACCCAAATTAACTTCACTCGATACAATTGAAAGTCCTAAACTCCTAATTATAGATATACTAGTTTTGTTCGATCCAAACATTTTAATTTAGTGATTGAAGAAGAAGATCTGGTCTTTGTATGGGGGTTGATGTCGTCATTAGATTTAATAACTCTTGCTTACAAAAATAAACTACTAGCCGACAGATGCTATGCTAGGCGGAAAAGCAAACCGGGAAATCAAAGTCCAAAAATCGAAATCAGGGCAATGGTTGGTTTAGTTTTTAAAAATTGTTTTTTGTTCTCAAAATTTTGAAAACATCTAAAATTTGTTTGTTTATCATTTTTGTTCTCTAAATTTTGAGAAAAAATAAAATTTGAGTCAAAGAAACAGAAAACAAGTGAAACTTGTTTTCAGAGTTTTCTTTGAAAATTTTGAAAAAAATGAGAACAATTTTGGATGTTCAAATATGAGTATATATATATATTTATATTATGAAATTGTCAATATAAAAATAATTTTTTATATTTTTTTATTAATATTTAAATTACTGTACAAATATATATTTAAGCTGTCCAAACAAGTTTTACTATTTTCTGTATTGTAAAATTGTTTTTGAAATCATCTAACAAAACAAGTTTTTTATCTCAAAAAATATCAAAACCACTTCCTTAAAATTTTTCTTAAAAATTATTTTCGAATACTATTTTTTAAAACACAAACCAAATAACCCCAGGTTCAAGTTGGTTCAGGTTCTTCCTGGTTTTCATTTAGGCAGTTGATTTCTTGGGATTTCAAGTTGGTTCAGGTTCTTCCTGGTTTTCATTTAGGCAGTTGATTTCTTGGGATTTTTTTCTGCAGTATCTCTAGTTCTGATAATGACATTGTAGTGAAGCAAACTCTTAGATTCTTAAATTCTCATCTTGATATGTTTTTTTTTCTTGATGTCATGTGCCGATTTAGTGGTCATAAAGTTATAGCACATTCAAGACATCATATGTACTAGGTGGACTGCTTACTAAAGGTTTTCTTTTCTACTGTATGCATGCATCTGTGTGTATCAGCTACATGATTCATTCGTATGCGAACAGTGTTAAGCTTTGCAACTTGAGCTTGAATTTTTGCGCAGAGCAAGTGGTAGATAATGTGCAGTTTCGTATCTTCATATCTTAATAATGATGTCTTGGCCCCAAACCGGAGTTGGCTCAAACTCCAAAACTCAAACCAAAAATCTCCGAAACCTTTAAAAACAAACCAAAAATCACATTTCGACTCGCACGTGGCCATGATACAAACATCAAAAGCGCGCAAATTAGAATTTCGAAACAACACAAATGGCGGTACTTGTGTTCTTCAAAGCCTCCTCTCACCCACACACATTCGTTTGGAAGTCACCACCCACGGTTCTCTCAAACCCACCCTTCTTTTGTCTTGCTCTCTGTTCTGGGAAAGTCAAAGCCCTAGTGTCTAACTTGGAACAGAGAGTTGGATAGCAATGGCGAACCAAGAGAACTGCGCTAGAGTCACTCGCTTATCGAAGAAGAGGGCAGCAGAGGCAGAGGCTTTGGGTGAGTCTCAACAACCGCCTGCTAACAAGAAGAGAGTGGTGTTGGGGGAGATTAAGAACTTGTCGAATGTTGTAGCTAATCAGGTTCATAAACTGGGTTCTGAGCCTCCGAAGCCCAGATGTAAGTCGAAGAACAAGTTCAAGAAGGCAG